GGGGGTTGTATAAGGTAGGTATAAAGCTAAGCTCTAGTACAAGATGACGTTTAGAATATTCTTAGTGAATGAATTTTGTTTTTGTAAAGAAAGATATTTTTGAAATAGATATCTCTCTGAATTTTACCGTTACAATTTTCGAGGATAAGCCTTAAGGAATCATCTTGCCTGATTTCGCTTTCTACTGGTATATGCTGTGTTAGTTTTCCATTTAGCTTTGGCTGCATTCGATTACGCCTGTGGGTTTTTAAGCGCGAGAACTGGGTGGATTGCTTACAAGCCGTACTTACGCTTACAGCCAGTCCCAAGCCCAGATAAAAGAAGAAGTTTGAACAGCTGGGTTAGCAGCCTACATATTCTAAGACTCAAACCACAAATACAAAGCCTAAGATCCCAATGGATCCCACAATGAAGAAACGTTTTTGATGATTTGTCGTATCAATTTATTCACATGGTTTACCAACACAAACAAAATAGTGTTAATTAAAGCTGCCAGTTTTTAAAAGAATATATTTTTTTATCAATTTAATAACTCACAGATTAAGCTTAATATAAGTTACAACTAAGTGTATGTTACAAATTTTATAAATAAGAATTTATTGTACAAAAGATGGGAAGCTCGAAAGGTTGATGTCACAGGCCCAAAAATGTGGAAGATATACTTTACAAATTGTAGTCAAATTATATTTCCATCCTTCGCCTGCGGTTTACGCACTAACTCCAAGCATGCTATAATTTTGATTACAAGTATTAAAGAGTGGAGGATTCTCAGAAATGAGTGTAAAACCCTTTACAAATAGTTCAAAATGACTAGGTATTAGTTTATTTCACCGTTTTTATCTTTCTATAAGACGAAATAAAAATTATTAGGGTAAACTGTGCAAATACCGGTCAGTGGGTAATGGCGGTCATCCCGATTGTGCGAAATCTATTCAATCTGGCAACCTCCTATAACTGCCAACGTGCCGCTACACTACTCTGTATTCAGATTGCTGACGACCGTTGAGTTGGCGCAAACCATATTCATAGAAATATTATTAACCTGTTTTCAGTGTTTTCGATCTTATTTTTATGCTGAGTAATATAAGGTCTTAATTCATTGTTATTCACTTGTAGATCTTAAAATTGGTTACAATTGATTATAATGACGTTAGCTGCCTATTCATTTTTTAAAGATCAATATTTTAATACATGTTTACGAGTAAAAAATTCTAAGAAAAAAAATGCCAACAGGAGGCAATGCCGGTCAGTTGACCGGTATTACCCCCATGCTATAATTTATACCCTATACCAGTGTTTCCCAAATGTCTCAAAATTGCGGACCCCCAAAATTAGACAATAGGATCATGGGGACCCCCAGAAACAGTTTCGTTAGAAAAATAAAAAAACAACTATTGCGTTTTTTAAATATGTTATTTAATTAATAATTAATAAAAGAAAATAGAAATAAAATACAATGATTACATTATAAAACTTATAAATTTTCAGCAGTTTTAAATTTTAATGAAAAGAATGGAACACTGATTTTTCCTTCATAATTTTTTGTAAATCAGGTCTAATATTTGAAATTTTTAACCTTAGATCTGAAACAACATCCAGTCGATTTCTTTGTTTTGATTTTAAAATAACGTATACAGAGAAAGCCTGTTCACATAAATACGTCGTACAAAATGGAATCAAATGTTTCATAGCCTTTTCGGAGAGATCGTTGTAATCAGAATTAATTTTAATCCAAAACTGAATTAAATCGTTGTCGTTAAAAATATCTTTTTTAGAACTGCTACAAGACAAGTCCACGAGCTGATCTTGTTGTTTTTCTGTAAGACTAGCATTTTCTTCAATTCTTGATGTAACAAACGGATTTCTAATCCAGCTGTTTTCATCATTTGGTGCAGGAAAATATTCACGAAAACTTATAACTACATTCCGCAAATGCTCGCAAATTATAAGTTGAATCTCTTGTGGCAAAGTTTCTTCCTCGGATTTCAGAAACGAATCTAAAGTCGGAAATGAACTTAAAGATGATTGTTCCACACGGTTAGCCCAAATTTGTAATTTTTGTATGGTGGCTTCTATTTTTTCGTCAGTTTTAAAAATATTTACATTTTTGCCCTGTAATTGTAGATTCAGTCCATTTAAAAAAACAAAAATATCGGATAAGTATGCTGTCATGCACATCCAAGAAAAATTGTTAAGTCGTTCAGCTAATTCAAATTTATTCTCACTTAGAAAAAGTCGCACTTCGTTGCGCAATTCAAAAAATCGAGCCAAAATCTTTCCCCGGGATAACCATCGTACTTCTGTATGTAAAAGGAGTTGAATGTGTTCACTGCCTGCTTCTTCACAAATTGCTTGAAAAACACGGGAGTTTAACGGCCTGGCCTTAATAAAATTAATAATTTTAACAACTTCGTCCAAGACCAATTTTAACGATGGCGGCATTTTTTTGCAAGCTAGAGCTTCCCTATGGATACAGCAATGAGTCCATATTATATTGGGTGCTACATTTTCACGAGTGCCACAAGACCCGTTAATTTTCCAGACATAGCACGGGCTCCGTCTGTACTTAATCCAACGCATTTGTTCCACAATATATTAGATTCAGTAAAAAAATCATTGAGAGCGTTAAACACACAGTCAGCTGTAGTACGCATTAGTTCCCGTAAACACAAAAAGTCTTCATGAATTTCACCATCATAGTCGTAACGAACAAATACCAACAAAATTGCTTTATTTGAAATATCTGTACTTTCATCAAGTTGTATGGCGAACATTTTACAAATCTGGAGTCTTGCAATTAAAATCTGTTCAACATTCAGGGATAAATCGGTTATTCTTCTTTTTATAGTGTTGTTGGAGAGAGGTATTACTTGCAACTGGTTTGCAGCAGAATCACTAATCATGGTCTTACACATAATCTGCGCAGCTGAAAGCAGTAACTCCTCTGCTATAGTGTGGGACTTTCCAGATTTAGCGATTAATTCCGCTATTTGAAAAGAAACAAGTGTGGCCTTTTCATTTCCAGAAGCAACTGTTTTTATTACGTTTTGACTCTGTTTAAGTTCTTTCATTTTCAATCGAAAGAAATCAATAGATTTATTCTCTGATTCAGGGTGCTTTCGCTGTAAATGACGTCGAAGTTTTGCCGGTTTCATACATTCATTTGAAAGCACATCAAAACATAAAACACATTGTGGTCTTAACTCGTCGTTGACGGTATTTTCAATAAATCCAAATTGTAAATATTCTTCATTATATTTTCGTTGCTTCCCACGAAACTTACCAATACTTTTTGGCGTCGAATTCGCTGCCTTAGGTTGAGTTTCTGACTCCTGAGAAATACTTGGTTGTTGTTCCGTCTCATCATCACAGTGTGGTCTTTTCAAAGAGCCGCTTTTCAACCAACGATCCATAGTAAAAACACTAGTCACTATTAGTCACTAATCAACCGAACAATTGTAATAAAAATTGTGTGTATCTGCTTCCAAATCGATTCTAAAGTTGTCACGTTACCATTACTTTACACGTTACAGGAGAAACTAAGCTCAGACAAAAAAAATGCGTAGGCGCAAGGCCACGCCCGAAGCAAGGCCACGCCCGAAGCCATGACGTGTTTATGTGTTAGCAAGCACCGTTGCCAGATCAAACATTAATTCTTAAAACTTCAAAAAATTGTGAACGTATTTTTGCCTATTCTTTTTTTATGCCGTGGGCTCGCGGACCCTCGAAAAATATGTCGCGGACCCCCGGGGGTCCGCGGACCACTATTTGGGAAACACTGCCCTATACTATTAATCCATTCGACATTGCAAGAAAGAATAAAAAATAAAAATCTTCAAGGTGTCTCATTAGGTAGAAAATCAGTATTTTCTGCCGAACTAGAAGCTAAAATAGCCACACAAAAAAATATTTAGCTTAATTTTTTATGGCGTAACAGCAATAGAACTGAGAAAATTAGCATTTGGGTTTACAAGATAATTTTTCTTGTAATAAAACACCTTTTTCTTGTAATTGGCATTACAAGAAAAAGGTGTTTGATTCTAGTTCTTTGGAATCGGATATTGATATATCATGTGATAACAGTGACGATGCATACGAAGATAGATGCCTGGTTTACAGCGAGTTTGGCAAAAACAATGAATTGTGGTATATATTTACCGTTTGCTCACGATGGGCTTATTCAGAGTGCAGTGGATGGGATTCTGCAGAGAGTTATACCTGCGATGACTGTCAACTATTTTTACATTAAAACACATATTTTTGTTATTTTTTGTTTGTTTTGTAATAAAAAATATTTTTTCACCTTTCTTACTGATTTACTTGAATTATGACCCATTAAGCCACATTCGTTAATCGTTTTATAACAAAAAAATGTTAAATAGATATTGATTTTTATTTTAATAATAATACAAACAAATTGACTGGCATTACCCACACTCATGACCGGTATTGTCCATGTATGGTGACAATACCGGTCAAAGATACTTTTTTATGTTTTGTCTCTGTCAAAGACAAAAATTTTATATTCTTGAAATTAAATGTATCTTGCAATAAGTTAAAACCCCAAATTACGGATTGACGGCTTAAATTTGATTCACAGAGTTTTATATTACTTTATATTAAATTTTCTTCTTAGGTGACCGCGATTTGCACACTTTACCCTACGTATTTAATATAACGATCTTTTTAATTTTTAGTTCCTATAATAATTTGAAACTTTTTTTTCTAAAACTTGTTCGTCACTTGCGAGAATGATCTTCTAAAGAGTTTATTGATTTATTGCAATTATGTGAGTAAAAAATACAATTAGTGTTTAACAACTGCCGTTTTGTTTTAATTTTTTAATAAAGGATGGAAATAAAGATGAGTAAAAACTATTCTGATTTATCGTGATCATTAATGGAGCGTGTAGCTATAATAAAAAATCCACAATTTTATTTAAAAAGGTAACAGATATTGATTTCTAAGGTGGAATATAGATAGATAAAATGACTATTATTCTAAACATTTTCTCCTTTAATATTCTCGCCTTTAACATACTTTAACAACAAATCATCGAGTTCATTGCCGTTGTAAAATACCACGAAGCCTTTCGGGGAGAGCCCTTCAAATACTGAACACACCGACGGTTTGAGGTTAAAAAAGAAGATGATTTGGTCTCTAGCGGCGAAGTCGGAAGTTAGTGTTTCAATCACTGTGGCTGCAGTAAAATCTGCGCCGTATATGTGCGAGCAATCGATGACCACGGGAATTCCTTGGCGAACACCATATTTGGTTACAATATGACGGACATAGTCAGCCGAGGGGAAGATCAGGCATCGATCGGGTGTTAGGAGCAGGTATTCTACACCTCCAGTGGTCTGTAAGACAGAAAAAAAGTTTTTTAGTCAATATTTAGATTTACGTTTTGAATTTTTTTTAGGAAAATTTTATTTAATTTTATTTAATTTCGTTTAATTTTATTTAATTTTATTTAATTTTATTAAATTTAATTTAATTTTATTTAATTTTATTTATTTTATTTTATATTATTTTATTTCGTTTAATTTTATTTAATTTTATTTAATTTCGTTTAATTTTATTTAATTTTATTTAATTTTATTTAATTTTATTAAATTTTATTTGATTTTATTTAATTTTATTTATTTTATTTTATTTAATTTTATTTAATTTCGTTTAATTTTATTTAATTTTATTTAATTTTATTTAATTATTTAATTTTATTTAATTTTATTTAATTTTATTTAATTTTATTTAATTTTATTTATTTTATTTAATTTTATTTAATTTTATTTAATTTTATTTAATTTTATTTAATTTTATTTAATTTTATTTAATTTTATTTATTTTTATTTATTTTATTTAATTTTATTAAATTTTATTAAATTTTATTTAATTTTATTTAATTATAATTAATTTTATTGAATTTTATTTAATTTTATTTAATTTTATTTAATTTTATTTCATCAAATTTTTATTTAATTTTATTTAATTTAATTTAATTTTATTTAATTTTATTTATTTTATTTAATTTTATTAAATTTTATTAAATTTTATTTAATTTTATTTAATTTTATTTAATTATAATTAATTTTATTGAATTTTATTTAATTTTATTTAATTTTATTTAATTTTATTTATTTTATTTAATTTTATTTAATTTTATTAAATTTTATTAAATTTTATTAAATTTTATTAAATTTTATTTAATTTTATTTAATTTTATTTATTCTATTTAATTTTATTAATTTTTATTTAATTTTATTTAATTTTATTTAATTTTATTTAATTTTGTTTAATTTTATTTAATTTTATTTAATTTTATTTAATTTTATTTAATTTTCTTTAATTTTATTTAATTTTATTTATTTTATTTAATTTTATTTAATTTTAATAAATTTTATTTAATTTTATTTAATTTTATTTAATTTTATTTAGATTTATTTAATTTTATTTAATTTTATTTAATTTTTTTTAATTTTAATTAATTTTATTGAATGTTATTTAATTTTATTTAATTTTAGTTACTTTTTTTAATTTTATTTAATTTTATTTAATTTTTTTTAATTTTTTTTAATTTCATTTAATTTAAATAAATTTTATTTAACTTTATTTAATTTTGTTTAATTTCATTTAATTTAATTAAATTTAATTTTATTTAATTTTATTTAATTTTATTTAATTTTATTTAATTTTATTTAATTTTATTTAATTTTATTTCATTTTATTTCATTTTATTTAATTTTATTTAATTTTATTTAATTTTATTAAATTTTATTTAATTTTATTTAATTTTATTTAATTTTATTTAATTTTATTTAATTTTATTTAATTTTATTTAATTTTATTTAATTTTATTTATTCTATTTAATTTTATTTAATTTTATTTATTTTATTTAATTTTATTTAATTTTATTTAATTTTATTAAATTTTAATTAATTTTATTGAATGTTATTTAATTTTATTTAATTTAGTTACTTTTTTTAATCTTATTTAATTTTATTTAATTTCATTTAATTTTATTTAATTTTATTTAATTTTATTTAATTTTATTTAATTTTATTAAATTTTATTTAATTCTATTTAATTTTATTTAATTTTATTTAATTTTATTTATTTTATTTATTTTATTTAATTTTATTTAATTTTATTTAATTTTATTTATTTTATTTAATTTTATTTAAATTTATTAAATTTTATTTAATTTTATTTAATTTTATTTAATTTTATTAAATTTTATTTAATTTTATTTAATTTTATTTAATTTTATTTAATTTTATTTAATTTTAGTTCCTTGTTTTAATTTTATTTAATTTTATTTAATTTTATGTAATTTTATTTAATTTTATTTAATTTTATTTAATTTTATTTAATTTTATTTAATTTTTTAAATTATATTTAGTTTCATTTAATTTTATTTAATTTTATTTAATTTTATTTAATTTTATTTAATTTTATTTAATTTTAGTTCCTTGTTTTAATTTTATTTAATTTTATTTAATTTTATGTAATTTTATTTAATTTTATTTAATTTTATTTAATTTTAGTTAATTTTATTTAATTTTTTAAATTTTATTTAGTTTCATTTAATTTTATTTAATTTTAATTAATTTTATTAAATGTTATTTAATTTTATTTAATTTTAGTTACTTTTTTTAATTTTATTTAATTTAATTTTATTTAATTCTATTTAATATTGTATTTAATTTTATTTATTTTTATTTAGTTTTTGAAGTCGTCTTTTGAAATCGATTTACGTACTAATCGTATTACATAAGTATTTAATATTATTAGTATTAAATTAAAGCTATTGCTTCAAGAAAAACATATGAATGACTCATGGGTTAAAATGTCAGTTGGTAGTTCAGATTTCTTGCCTTGTTGACGATAGGAGTTTCAATCTAAACTAACATAAAGCTTCAAATCATTTTGCTTAATGAATCTTACCTAAAAGTTACAGTACCCACTATTATTATTTATATTAATATGTAATTAAGATTTTTAGTATTATTAATATTTAAACATATCGCTTTAAGAAAAAAATATGATTTAAATGTCAGGTGGCAGTTCATTTTTTTGGTGGCGCTAGGAGTTATCCTAGAGGACAAACAGAGTGAATTGTCGTCATAGCCTTTTATATAGATAGATAACAGTATAATAGAATGTACTTACACTTAATTTCTCCACGAATATTTTTGGTCTCGCCGCATGGTACAATATCAGCAGCAAATTGATACCGATTCCCACCAGAATGCCAATTTCCAAATGAAGTACCAAACAGGCAATGAAGGTAACGATGAAAATAATGAAACAACTTTCTGTAAAATACAAAAAAAAACATATATTTCTATTATCTTATATTTTTAATTGAACACTTCAATTTTCACTCAATATTACAATACTCGTCTGTTTGTTATTATTTTTCCGAGATTGGATTCCACCTCTATTTTGTTTTTATTATAATTATATTTATTAAAATATTTGACAAAATAAAATGGAAGCTGTTATACATTCATATATATATATATATATATATATATATATATATATATATATATATATATATATATATATATATATATATATATATATTTAACGTTATTATTTCGACCAAAAAACAATTTATCAGTATGTTGGAAATATCGGGTATGTGGTCTATATAAAATAAAAATCTTTGTTTTTTCTAAAACTCAATATTTCGCTCTTTATTTAAAAGCTTCATCAGGAGTAACTGTAAAAAACAAACATTTCAAAAAACTGACGTACACTTAGATTTACAATACTTACAGACTTAAAAGATTTCACACATAAATAAATTTGATATTATAATAAACATTTTTTGATAATGTATAAGTTTGTTAAAATGTAAATATATATGAGCACGTTCGTTAACAGTAAGTAAATGAAATGGAAACAACTAAAAGTTATTTCAAATGCAAAAACTAACAATGTAAGAAAACATTAGAGGAATATTATTTCTTTAATTAATCATTAAGGCTAGTTAGTATGATTAATCATTAAGGTGAGTGAGTTTTAAATTTTGTTCAATATATTGCAATATATGTTGCTTAATTGCCCCGTGTCTGTTTTATAATTTAAAGTTTGTTTATTTTTGTTGATGTGGTACATCTCCAAAAATAGCCTACTTTTGTAATTGTCAGTCTGTGCCAGAATACGAGCATTGTTATAGTCCAACAGATGACCGGTGTTTTTATAATGCTCGACTATATATATATATATATATATATATATATATATATATATATATATATATATATATATATATATATACATATTTGTGACATTTGTGATATCAGACACTTCGTCAAAACCATGGGACATAGTGTATATAGACACAATAGGTCCATTCCCTAAAAGTAGTGAAGGCAATCGATACTGTATCACGATGCTTTACCTACTGTATCACGATGCCCCTCTGTGGCTCAGTGGTAAGAGCACCTACCTTTAAACCTATAGGTCGTGAGTTCGAATCTCACCTGGGTGGAAATTTTCGTTTATTAAAAAAATTAATAAATGAAAATAATTTCTATCCTTGTGTGATCGGTACTCACCGAAGGGACCGCAGACGTTCGGATACAATAAGCGTCTCTTAGCAAAGACAATGACGTCGACTTTGCTAAGTATCAAGACAATTACTCTACACACACAAACACACACACACACACACACACACACACACACACACACACACACACACACACACACACACACACACACACACACACACACACACACAAACACACACACACACTACATTAATAAACTTATCATGATTGAGACTGGCTGAATGACAATTGTCCAAGCCAAAACACACACAAAAAAAAAACGATGCTTTGCGAACTGACGAAATACGCAGTAAGTATCCCAGTAGCTAATAAAGAAGCCGAAAGCCGTTTTCAACAGCATACCATCCTCAGTCAATAGGAAATTGTGAGAAGCTACATAGGACACTAAATGAATCGTAAAATCATTCATGGACGAAAACAAGGAAAATTGGGATGAGTGTTGCAGAATGTTCACATACTGCTACAACACTACCCCTAATGCATATCACGGCTACACACCTTTTGAATTGTTGTATGGTCGAAAGGCAAATTTACCAGAAGATCTTACACGGGAAATTTAACCATGCTATAACATAGATGCCTATTATAATGAGCTACGATATAAACTACAAATCGCACACGACAGAGCTAAAACATTCTTACTAAAGCACAAAAAGGAAAGACAAGACGCAAGCAAGCTAATCGCGGCACCTCAACGTTTTAAAATAGGACATCTAGTCCTGCTAACGAATTTGTATACCTGGGAACTTGCAGAATTTGCACGGCTAATAGATGCTATTTTGGGCTAAATCTCCTTTTTAAATCTATAGTTATATCAAGGAATACAAAAGTAAAACTCTACAAAACAATAATACGCCCAGTCCTAACATATGGTTCAGAAACCTGGACTTTAACAAAAAGCAATGAAAACATGTTAAGATGTTTCGAAAGCAAAATACTAAGGCAAATCTATAGAGCTGTAAATGAAAATGGTGTCTGAAGAAGACGATACAACTTCGAACTCTATAGAATATACCAGGAACCAGATATCGTAAAACACGTTAAGATAGAACGTCTGAGGTGGGTAGGCCATGTATTGCGGATGGAGCAAACCGACCCAGCTAGAAAAACGCTCCTTGATAGACCTATTGGTCAAAGAAGAAGAGGAAGACCCAGAACTAGATTCCTAGATAATATAGACCAAGGTATGTGAAATATGAAGATACGTGCTTGGCGGAGGAAGGCGATGGATAGGGACGACTGAAAGAGAATTCTTGGGGAGGCTAGGACCCACACAGGGTTATAAAGCCAAAATGATGATGATCATGATCTAGTCCTGCTCAAAAGAGAAGAAAATAATAAATTTGATAGTCTTTATGTAGGTCCTTTTGTCATAACAGAAGTAAATAACGATTTTACGCGACAATAATAGTGATATCGCGGGAAAAGTGACAGAACAAATGAATAAACTATTTTTACCACATATGTTGACGTGATAACTTGATAACTACCAACCAGTGGAACAGGCCGGATTCAGGAAAGGATACAGCACAATCGACCATCTACATGCGCTTAAAATCTTAATTGAGAAAACCAATGAATACAACCTTCCGCTGTACTTAGCATTCGTAGATTATGAAAAGGCTTTCGACAGCATTGAACACTGGGCGGTTGAAGAACCTCTGGTCAATAGTAGAATAGATTCAAGATACCGACAATTGATACATGATATTTACCAAAACGCAACCATGACCGTAATTCTGGACGACAAATTAATAACGGATAATATAAAAGTTAAACAAGGAGTCCGACAAGGCGATATAATTTCACCTAAACTGTTTACCTTGACACTCGAAGACATAATAAAATCAACACATTGGGAAAACAGAGGAATATGTATTAACGGAAAATACCTAAATCACCTTAGATATGCGGATGATATACTCCTGATCTCCTCGGAACGACAAGAACTGGAATTAATGTTGAATGAACTTCATGAAAAATCACTGCAAAAAGGCCTAAAAATTAACTTCAACAAAACAAAAGTAATGACAAACACGGAAGACCAAGAGGCAATAAAAATAAAAACAGAAAAAATAGAACAGGTAAATGAGTATATCTATCTAGGACAAGCAATCAGAGCTATTAGAGAAAATCAAACAGCCGAAATATCGAGACGAGTAAGAATGGGATGGGCAGCGTTCGGCAAACTTTCTTATGTTCTAAAAAATCAAACAATCCCTCTATACTTACGAAGCAAGGTATATAACTCCTGTATAATACCGGTGCTCACCTACGGAGCACAGACATGGACATTTACACAGGCCAATTTGGATAGGATAAGGAAGGCACAAAGAGCGATGGAGAGACAAATGTTGGTTGTATCACTTAGAGATAGAAAACGTAACCAGTGGATCAGAACCAGAACAAAGACAGTAGACGCGATAGAACAAGCAGCAAAACTGAAATGGAAATGGGCTGGACACAATGAACGTCTCCAAGACGGACGATGGAACAATGCCATCGGAAAGTGGCGTCCATACAATGCAAAGAGATCAAGAGGCAGACCACAGATGAGGTGGAAAGATGACATCAGGAAACAAGGAGGTCCCACATGGCAGAGAACAGCTCAAGATAGGGAAAGATGGAGAGAACTGGGGGAGACCTATATCCAACAATGGAAGGATAGAGAATAGGTTCAAAAAAAAACCACATATATTTAAGAGTTAAGATAATGTATATGGTAGCATAGGTAAACAGTACTTATTTGAGGTTGAAAATTTCTCTTCTTTCGAAGGGAAAGAGAGAGAGAGAGAGAGAGAGAGAGGAATGAGACAGTTGCAAAAGAGAAATTTTTTCCGTAATTGGTATGGTGTAGTATTATTCCTAAAATATTATAATTTATATAAAGAATAAGTTAAAACTAAAAAAAGTGTAACATGGTTTCGCATTTTGTTTATATAAAATATATTTAATAATCTGAATCGAGGACATTCATAAATATACTCTAATTAGAATTTGTAAGTCAGCACTATTGCCAGTCACGACATATGTTTGGCATAGGTCGCGAACAAATTTGACACACTAAGAAATAAACTGCTGATATATGCAAGGCCTGCTACAAAAGCGACAACAATCATTATCTGAGGGATCAGAACTAATTTAACGTCAAGATGGCAAGCTATGACGGAGGTAAGCTTTGATATGAGGGAGCCTCATATCAAAATTACTTAAGTACTAATTACGACTAGATTAAGTAATTTTAAGTAAAAGTGTTTTAAATAAATGGTCACATAATTCAACAACCCGTTATTTATCATTTACGATGTTATTTACCATAAACACACACAAACACGCACACAACACATACACACACACACACACACACACACACATTAATAATAGTAATATATATTATTACTTAAATTTAATTTTGTTTTTTAAATTTTTCAAAATTTCTTTAGAACGGCAAAAACGTAGCCAGATAGGAACTAGTCCGATTTTATTTATTCTAATTAAAACATAATATTTAACTTACTTTTTGATCTCCACATGGGCTTTACAACTTTCACTTCAATCATAAATATAGTAGCAGCTATAATGACAGCACCTAGCACTGCATTCGGGATGTAGTAAAAATATTCTGTGCAAAACAACAAAGCTACAATCACAAGAATCCCAGTATACAATCCTCCAAGAGGAGTGCGTACGCCACTGGCATTATTAACAGCACTGCGCCCCAAAGCACCAGTTCCGGGATAGCCCTGAACGAAGGAATTGCCGATGTTACAGAAACCGAGGGCTATCAACTCTTGGGTGGCATCTACGGGCTTTCCGTTTGCTGAAATAAAAAAGTAAAAAGGTTGGAAACGAATATTACATAATTCGTCAAGAAGGAATGAAGAAAAGAACTCTAAGTAGAAAGTAGAATGGAAAGGAAACGTAAAAGCAAGAACATATTATAACGTAAGGGTAGCTTCCCAAAGTAACGGTAATATAGGACAAGTATCTTCAATAACCACTTGAAAGGGTCATTCTTGTAGCAACTGAATTTTTTACGTGACTAATTTGCTAACTGGCTCTTGTTATTTTTAATATATTTGCCTAGGTTGTTATTTGTTCGGAAAGCTGGTGTTATTCCTTTCTTTTTTATGTGTTTGGCAACTTTTGTGGTTATTTTGCCTGTATATGTAATCGAGCAGAAGGTACTGGGTTTTTTCTCTGGTGGTGGGAATACTAATTTCAGGGCTTTTTTGATTTAACAAAATGTTACATCAAAAACTACACAAGAAAGTCCTGAAATTAGTATTTCCACCACCAGAGAAAAAACCCAATACCTTCTGCTCGATTACATATACAGGCAAAATAACAACAAAAATTGCCAAACACATAAAAAAGAAAGGAATAACACCAGCTTTCCGAACAAATAACAACCTAGGCAAATATATTAAAAATATCAAGAGCCAAAATAAAAAAACACCTAAATAGTGGTGTGTACAAACTTCAATGTGGCGACTGCCCAAAAACTTACATCGGTCAAACTGGTAGAAACTTTGATAAACGAATAGCAGAACATAAAAGGGCTTTCAAGAATAGAAAAACAGATTCGACATACGCACTTCATCTTCTAGATCATAATCATTCTTTTAATGATAAATTTAAAATTCTTAACATTCAAAATAAAAGACTTAAGCTATCTTTGTTAGAATCTATGGAAATCAACAAATTAAAAAACACAGATATAATTCTGAATGACCAACTTGAGACAAACAGTTCTCCCCTCCTCAACCTATTTCATTAGAGACTATAAATTGTAAACGCATGCCAAAAATAGATCACTTGAGAAAGGAAATCAGCCGAAACAGCTGTAGCGATAAGATTTAAAATAAATTTTGTGGAAGTTTGAAAACAAAGTTTTCAGTGTTTTATTGTTACATTTTTATAATATATGTTTATGTTGTCATGATCAATGAAACCAAAATAAGGTATTAGGGGAATTTTCTTGCATATTAAGTAACAAAATAAAATAATTTGTATTTTAATAACAATTTCCGAAGTGGAAATCAAAAACTATTCTCATTAAAAATAGTAGATAACCTAAAAATGCCGCAAATCAATAGTTTCAGATCCAGTTTTGTTTTAAATTCATGTAGTTTAAATTTTAAAAAGTAATTGCGAAAATAAATAAAATTGTAACCAAAATGGTGTGTATTCAAGGAATTATAGGTTTAAATAAACGTAATAATATAAAAAAAAATGTTAAAGAAAGAAACAAAAATGAAAAAAAAGCAAAAGAGAAGGAGATACATAAAGAAGGAAATTTTCTAAAGCTCTGCATTGCATATTCTAAATACTCACCAAAAGCTTTACAAATGGCGATATTCTCGAGCAATCCTACCAACGGTACAATAATTATACCACTTCCCAAATTGGACAGCATTTCCATGAAAGTATATTCTTGCACTACTGTTCCATTGACTTCCTTGGTGTATCCAAATGATGGCAGTTGGAATCCAGGCAATCCTTGTGGTACTTCTCCGATGACCAAAAATGGAGGTTTTCCCATGGAACAGTATAAGTAACCTATAAATGCACATATCACTACCAGGATGGCATTGCGACCAGTGCCAATGATCCAGGTGATGTTGTTAAATAGTTTTTGGAGTGTTGTCGGCTTTTGTTCGTCAGATCCAAGCTTTTTGGTACCGATTGACTAGAAAAAAAGATAATCTTCATTCCTGCTTTAAAAAAAATATTTAGAATAAGTAGCTTTCGTCATTTTAATATTGTACTTTGCCAATTTTCATTGGCCAATCAGTTTTTGCACCATCCGTCAAATGCCTTTGCAAATTTTTTCTTAAATTCGATACCCAACATAATTTTTATTTATTACAAATATGATAACTCTTTTATTATTAGTTTTACGCAACAAAGTTATTCGAAATAAAAAGTCGTACATAGTATAAACCCTAAGATGTACCCATCAGATATTAAATTTTATTAATATTATACGAGGTACGTCAAAAAATATGAATTTTATTCAAGAGTCAAGTATATATATATATATATATATATATATATATATATATATATATATATATATATATTTAACACATTTATATTATATATATTTACCCAAAACATAAAAACATATATTAAAAAACTTATTTATAACACTCACTTTCACAATAGAGCTTTAATAAATAATCCACAACCAGTTTTATACAAAAAAATACCTTACATAAAAAATTTAACAGACCAAATTGTCCCACTTTTCAAAACATTTCCGAACATTAAATTAATTAAATACAATCCACTTCTAAATTCAAGGTTGTTCTCAAAATAAAAGTTAAAACTCCAAATTCACTAATGAGTAATATAATTTATAGAATAAATTGCAGTCAATGTCAAAGTTGTTATATTGGACAAAGTCAACAGTGGCTTAAACAACGTGTCACTCAACACAAAAGTGACTGTAACTTACGAAAAAACTCTTGTGCCTTAGTGGACCAACACTTAAAGACAGGACATAACTTTGACTTTAATAATGTAAAAATCTTGGAACAAATTGATAATTATAAAAATCGACTTTTCCTTGAAATGGTACACATTAATAAAACTCCAGAATCTATCAATTATAAGACAGACACCAACCATTTAAGTAATATCTACTGTAATATACTAAACAATATATGATATGATAGATCTTAATATCAGTATCTAACAACATCAGACCAATAACTGACTACGTACCATCAATTACATTTTATAGATCAATTTACCATGTTCCTGATTCTTTCTCAATATTCTACTTTTGCACCTTATTATGTGGATAATACTGTCACAATATGTAATTGTTTACTAAAACTTATTCGCTAAAAATTGTACAATGGGAATTCATTCTATAAAATATTGCGGTTACCATAACTCTCAAATAAATTAAAATCAAAAAATGTCATTTATTTAAATTGGATATGTTATCAAAATTTAAATTTTTAATCTTAAGTTGTAAGTATTGAAATATTTATTTTGTTTACATATAATAATTATAATAAATTTACAGTTTTCTCCTGAAGAAGTCACAAAATCGTGACGAAATATTGAGAAATAACAAATAGAGTTTCATTTCATACAGACCAATTGCTGAGACTACAAATAATATTTAACACAGTACGGTCGAGAATAATTTGATAAATATATATATATATATATATATATATATATATATATATATATATATATATATATATATATAGGGTGTTTCAAAAAAGGTAACCCCGTCTCTAGGGTAGGTAAAAAACTGAAAAATAATTGGGGTTTGTTAGTACAAAATTTTTGTAACGCCATCCGTTTTCAATATTGCTCTGAAGCTATTTTCTTGTGGCATTTTAAATTAATTACTATTTAACTGGGACTAAGCCACAATTAAAGATAAAATTACGTTTATTGACGTTTCAATTTCCACTTCGGAAATCGTTCTCAAAATACAAACAGTAAATTAAACAAATTTTGTTCTTTGTTATATTCTTGTCACTTACATTGTGAAAAATTCTTCTAATAATTTAATTGTATCTGACTCATTTATATTAACAATTCAGACATACATTATGCATTTTAAAGTAGACGACTTTAAAATGATATTGCCAATATTGTTGAGTTACGCTCCTGGGACGACTTTACTTATAAGATTGTTCATTCGATTACATGAAATCAACTTTAACTTGAGAATATCCGTCAGAAAAAAAAATCATAGCATGTAATTCGTCTTTAAAAAGACAAACACATGACATGATGACAGTAAAATTCTCCTGTTAGTGATTCCATAGTAAATTATGAGGGAAAACCAGGAAAAAACCTCATAATACTATCCCGACATGGTAAGTATTTGTTCGTGCATTTAGTTTACCTTCAATAAACACCAAAATTCTGATGTTATATGTTTCGTTATTTAAAAAACATAAATGATGTATCCTCTATATGTTACTGACTTTCTAATACCAGTATTAGTTGTCAAGTGTCAGTATATTGGGGAAAATTTCTGTTTAGTAACCGTGTTAACATTTTTTGTCGTGAATAGGTAAAAACTGTCTAGATAGTCTGCTAATTAAACTAAATTGGTAAATAATGCGGATTGTTATCAATCAGTTGTTGGTGTGTTGACATTTTACATTAAAATAATAAATTCCTAATTAAAAGCTTATTTCTTGCAGAAATAAAAATAAAATATTTAACTGAGACCCACCGAATGGAGATTTTAATGACGAAGCAGTATAGGCACTATGATTTAACACCTTGAGTTTGTTTTCAATCCGACGTCAAAAAAGTGTCAAAATTTACGAATTGCAAGATTTGAAGTAATAAGTTTATGGCAAGCATAGGTTTAAATAAAGGGCAAATAGTATTAATTGTGCGTTTTTCATTGTAACTTCCCTATTTTTAAAACTAACTCTGTAAAATTTTAATACCTGTAATATTGGTCGAGGTTGTAATTTATAATGATATACCTACATTTGTTTGTTTTTTTTTTTATTAACAACAGATTACAAACTAAATATTTTCAAAAATTATCACATTTGCTTTAGACTAAAACCGTCTTTTCAGTTCGAGTTTAGTCATTAATTTTTTATTTATTTATTTTTATTATGTATTTAGTGGAATTATGTATATGTAACTCTTGACACAATTTAAATTAGCATTACATTATATTCATTCATAAAGCACTAGTAATTGTAAATGCTTTCTTTATCTTATTTTAGGCAAATTAAACTCATAAACCAATACATTATGTGATACTATAGAGAGTTATTGCACAGTTTAACAGTGCCTGCGTTGCACTATTTACACCGCGCTATTTCGACAGTTTTGACATAAGGCTGACACATCACAAATAGAGATATTGCTTGAACTTATGCATACTTTGTTGCGTTATTAACGTTGTTTATGTTTTCTTTTCATTTGTTCGCAAATGATTAAAAATTGATCATGATTTAGAAGCACTTATTTTAGCAAATGCTCATGATGATGATGTAGGGTTTATCATTTTAAATAACATTGTGAGCAAACATGTATTACATCCACAAAATTAAGAATTTAATTTAGAAAACATGTTGGAAGCAGATGTAAAAATAAATTTTAGGTTTAGCAGACAAGATATTCCTACACTTGCAAGGGCTTTACGCCTACCAGATTTTCTTCATACCAATACTAGAAACTCTGTCAGTGGTAAATGCATTTGCATTATACATTACTTTTGAAATTAAGCCCTTATATTTTTGTTTTTAGGAGTGATGAGAAAGCTCGCTTATCCCAGCAGGCTTAAAGATCTTCAGCTTTTATTCAATTTGTCACCTCAATCATTATCTCAAATTATTGATTATATTTTTGCATTATGCTACTCTCTGATGTACTCATTTTAGAAAATTATTACAAATAAACTTGGTTTAAATGAAAGACAAACAACATACATAACCTGAGAAAGAAAATAGCGCAACGAATACCGCACAGCGTAACGGCTCCCCTAATAACGGCAGGCCGTATTTTCAATAACGCAGCGTAAGCCAAATATCACATCTGCGCATGCTCTACTGTCAAAATATCGCGTGCTGTATTACAGCAAGTGCAGAATTGACTCTGCAATATCTCTCTTATGTTAAAGTTGCTTCGCCGTGACGTCAAACTGTGAGAGTAATAGACTCAATATTTATTCGCTCTCTCTGCGCGTTAGCATACCGGTGTAAGTGTATCGTGATTACTTACCTTCATGACCAGCAGCAAAATAATACATGTTATTCCCATTACAGTGTCCCACAATCTAGTGTTAGGTAGTTCCTGTAGAATGTTATACCACGTTTCCACAAAAGTGCCACTCTTTGGATTGATTCCTAAAATATCTTTTACCTGTGAGGTTATTATTATCAGGGCTACAGCAGAGGTGAATCCTGACGATACTGGACCAGATACGAAGTTTATGATAAAACCTAACAAACAATGTGATTTTTTAGTCTGATTGAGGAATTGTTAGCGTTGGATATTAGCACAGTGATTGTTTTTAACACAGTGTTTTTACAGAAATATACTTTACACATTCAAATAAATATTTGCATTCACCTAAACCAAAGATTCCCATCATTATTTGTATCAATCCAGCCATGAACGAGAGCAAGATCGCATGTTCCGGTCCTCTCCCTTTGATAGCTTGCGCAGCAAGTATGGCGTTCAACGCAGATGGTCCGAATGGCACATCTTTACAACTGCCAAAGATAATATAAATAAAACATCCTATGAACGAGCTGTATAAACCATATTGAGGCGGTAAGCCGATAATACTGTGATATGCCAAACCCTGGAAAAATAAAAAAATATGATTATCATTTATTGCACAGTAGTACAGTAGTAATTAATATAAAAAATTAAAATAAATTATTTAATTAATAAAAAAACTTCTACCGTTAACTACAACTTTAGAAGCAGTAGCGGTTACTGCTTGGTGTCCAAACCATAACAATCTTACCATTTGCAGCATATAGATACATCCCTCCTGATCATACCATTAATGAAAAAGAGTTACCCAATTTAATATTTCAACTTCCCTTCCCGTATCCTCTTGTTGGTTACTTTAATGCCCATAACATATTTTATGGCTCAATCAGTACTTATGGTAAAGGCCAAATTATTGAAAACTGTTCACACTTTCCTGTTCAATACTGGACTTTATACCAATTTTAACATTTGTTCAGGACCAGGATCATTTTCAGCCATTGCTCTTAGCCTTTGTGAACCAAAAATTGCACCCTCCCACTCCTGAGAAATTTGTGATGACCTACCTGATAGCAACTACTTTTATATCATCATATCCAGTTTCTCAATTAGCAAACTACTACTAGAAGTTTCTAGAACTTAAAAAATGCTGATTGGTGAAAATTGAATTTTAAAACCGATTATTATCTTCTTTAGCTATTACAGAAGTTATTAACATTACTCTAAATTTGCTTAACGAATGCTTACGTACTGGTAAAAAGCCCACCTCCTCTACTCACAAAATGGTATCCTGGTGTAACAATCCGTTTATCCAAGAATTCTTTAAATAACTATCGGCAAAATAAAACCCAGGAAAGTCTCCTTATACACAAACTTAAGCTAAAGCCAAATTCATTATTAAGTTAACCAAAAGAACCTAATGGCAAACTTACACTTCCTCCCTAAGACACAATGCAAACCCCACTCAACTATGGAAACAAATTTCACAAATCCAAGGCAATCAACCTAACCTTAAGATTTTTCCTCTAATCTCATACAATACCTCCAACTGTTTATTGGTCATTTCTCCCTGGACTTTCTAACTAGAAGACAAGTACCGTTTATTAGAAGTCTTCGAATCAATTACACCATACTTACCCATGGTTTCTTAATGTCTTTAGGAACTTGTCCAACTTGGCACTCTTGCAATGTTTACCTGACTGTGAAACACATCCTCACCGACTGCAAACAATTCACCAACTTGTATAAAGCACTGGACTTGAAGCCTGTCCTTAACGAAATGCTCAACAACCCTACAGAGATCACAAAAACTATACAGTGTCTAAACCTCTCAACTCTATCACAAGATTTAACATAATAGACATAAGTTCCTCCTCTCCTCCTAAATGTCTTCTCTATTGAGGTTGGCGATCAATATGGCAAATTTCTCTCTGTTCTGGGCTTGATGGATTAAGTCATTTCCTGTTGTGTGAGTCCAATTTCTGATGTTTCGGAACCAGGATTTCTTCTTTCTTCCTATACCCCTTTTACCCTCGATTTTGCCTTCTAATATTACCTGGAGCTGCTCAAATTCCTTATGGCGCATTATGTGTCCTAGATATGACGTCTTTCTAATTTTGATTGTATTAACCAGATGAGGTCGTGTGTTCATTATTTCCAGTACCTCTTCATTTGTAGTTTTGCTGGTCCAGTTTATTCTTAGCATTCGGCGGTACATCCACATTTCGAATGAATTCAGTTTGTTGACGTCATACTGTTTTAATGTCCAGGTTTCACAGCCATATAGTAGTAGAGACCACACATAACACTTTAGTGTTCTTAACCTTATTGTGATTGATAGCTTGGGGTTACAGAGCATTTTACGCATAAATGAAATCGTAGGCTTCCACGGCCAGAGTCAGAATTATAGTTTATTCGTCTTCCGGGTTTGGACCGTGTCATTTGTGAGTGACCCAAAAGTGGGTTCATCTCGACGTTTCGCTACAATTGTATGTAGCTTCTTCAGGAGAACAAAGAATCTTGGTAGTTAGTATTCGCCTCTGGTTGCGTTGAGTAACTGAGTTACCGTTGCTAACTACCCATCTTCCTGTCTTTCGTTTTCTTTCTTTTTCTTTGTTCTCCTGAAGAAGCTACATACAATTGTAGCGAAACGTCGAGATGAACCCACTTTTGGGTCACTTACAAATGACACGGTCCAAACCCGGAAGACGAATAAACCATTTTACGCATGTTCATGAAGCCAGATCTTGCTATTTCAATACGTCTTCTAATTTCTTTTGAGTGGTCTAGCTGACTGTTTAGCTCTCTGCCCAGGTATATGAAGCTTTGGGAGCTCTGAAGGGTGATACCATTGATTTGTATGTTGGGTGTAATTTGTTCATGGGGGTTCTTGTGGAATACCATGATTTTGGTTTTGGAAAGATTAATATCCAAACCTAGTCTGTGACTTTCTTCTGATAGTATGTTCATCAATATTTTTAGTTGGTCTTCTGTTTCTGCTAATACTACGGTGTCATCGGCATATCTTACATTGTTAATGATAATTCCATTGACTCTGGCACCTTCAGGGCGATCTTCAAGAGATGCTCTGATGATATTTTCGGCATAGAAGACATAAGTTAAAGTGATTTAATTATTATTTGTTTTTATTATTTATTATATATTTAATATTATTGTTCCTGTACCAATGGCCATAGTTCTCGACATACCTTATGTAAATAAAAAAAAACATAAATGAATAATTCAAACAACAATTAGAAAAATAAGATATAATATCTTTACAGAAGTAAAACAAAACCAAAAAAACCTGTTCAAAGAGAATGGGATGCTAACCAGAATTGATGATGAAATTCAACTTCAAGATTCAATAAGAATATTCATTATGTTTCATGAGTAAAATTATTGGTATCCTAAAACATCTTTTTAGTAACTGTATCATAGATCATTGACTTTGAATCTTCCATTATCAACAATATTTTTTTATTCTTACAAATTATAGCAAAGAATACCTACTAACTTGTGGTATTAGCGTAAGACCGACTGTTATTCCAGCTATAAAATCACCAGCGGCATAATTGGTGTTGTACTTTGGAAGCCAAGCGAGAATGGGAAGCTTCCTGTAAAGCATCTTTTTCGTAAAGCCTTTTCTTATTCGATTTTTGGTCCATGGGACTATGTTTTTTATAACAGACGAAACTGAAGTATTTTGGTTGTCTTCTTCTAAAACTAAAACAACAAAAAATGTAAAGTGAAAGTATTTATAAAAAATATAACTGAAAATATATCTTTCCTTAAGGTTTTTTGGATGCGAGAAATGAAGCACTCGCCGAATTTTTAGTAATAAATGGAATCTCGTATACACTTTTACGTACATGGATATAGAGACAGAAAAAAAAAACAAATATAAGAAAAAGAAAAAGAAAAAATATGTCTAAAATAATTAAACAGTGTGTCGACAATGATTAATTTTAAAATAGCTTTACTGTTCCCGACACAAACAATACCTGATCTATTTACTGATACAAATTCTAGTAGAAGACTAGCGGTACTGAAGGCTAAAATTTATCTAATAATATCTGAAGGCTAAAATTGAATAGGGAAATTTTATTAATTATTAATTTTTTTTTTATAGATTTAATAAAATTGAAAAAGTTTACATCTTGAAACTAAGAACCACGAACCACTTTTTCGTGGCGCTACTTACGTAACGCTGTGTCGTGGCGTTACTTGCGTAACGCTCGCTTTGATTACTACTAACAGTTTATCCACATAGGCTAGGCAGTAAAACCATCTTTGGGCAGTTTTACTAAGAGGCCGTCTACTAATGTTGCCCATATCTTCTTCTTCATGCTTCATTTATCCAATGTTGGACATAGGCCTCCTCCAATTGCTTCCACGCTTCCCTATCTTTTGCAATTCTCATCCACTGCTTTCCAGCTACAGCAGTTATATCGTCTATCCATCTCTTTTTAGGTCTTCCCACGCTTCTTTTTGTTTCTCGAGGTCTCCAGAATGTCACTTTATGAGACCATCTCTTGGTGTCTTGTCTTGCCACATGTGCTACCCATTGCCATCTCAATGTCGCTATTTTTCCAATGATGTCGGTTACTTTAGTTTTTCGACATATTTCGGTGTTGGAATTTTGTCTCTGAGGCTTATATTTAACATGGCCCTTTCCGTGGCCCGTTGAGTTACTCTTAATTGTTCTGCCATTTTTCTTGTTATTGCCATAGTTTCCAATCCATAAGTTGCAACTGGTACTATACAAGTGTCATAGGTTTTTCGTTTTAAGTGAATTGGGATTTTTCTGTCTTTTAAAATGAAGCTCAACTTACCAAAAGCAGCCCATGATAATTGTGTCCTTCTTTTAATTTCTAGGGTTTGATTTTCCTTTTCGTTTTTAATTGCATGTCTTAGATATATATATATATATATATATATATATATATATATATATATATATATATATATATATATATATATATATATATATATATATATATATATATATATATATATATATTGTTCTAACTTTTCTATATTGATGTTATCTATCGTGATGTTTTCTAGGCTGTTGCTTAATATCTTTGTTATGATTCGATTTGTGATTTAAATCTTGTAGCATTGATTTTATACTGATGATCTCCACTGATATGGGCAACATATCAGTGGAGATAATATCTTTCTCTATGGTAATCACTTTCTACATTCGTAGACCTACCTACACATTTCGAAATGTGGCTTTATCGCCGTATCCTAAAGATACCATGGACAGCGAAAATCACAAATATAGATGTCCTTAAAAGAATAAACCAAGAACGCCAACTATTCGAAACCATCAAGAAAAGGAAAACGGCGTATCTAGGTCACATCATGCGAAATGAAAAATACCAGTTCCTCCAACTTATAATCGAGGGTAAAATTGAAGGCAAGAGAGGAATGGGACGCAAGAAAATGTCCTGGCTCCGAAACATAAGGCAATGGACAGGGATTAACGACATATAATCTCTGATACATATTGCAAGAAATAGAGAATTAATGGAAAATGTGATCGCTAACATCCATTAGTGGATTTGCATCTGAAGAAGAAGAAGAAGAAGAAGACCTACCTACCGTACCTAACGTAGACACGATTATACTATTGGCGGAGAACTTTTTTAAATATGGTGAAACAGCTTAAGGTTTGTTATTTGGATACATCTTGCGTGGATCAAGTTATTTCCTCTTAAAACTTACTTTCGGACAAGATTGTGCGTAGAAGAAGTCCGGGAAGAAAATAATATTCCTGGTTCAAAACTATACGTAGCTGATGGGATGTCGAAGATTCTGGATCTATATTCCGGCGGCTGAGGAGAGAAACCTTAGAATAGTTGATTAACACAGCAACTGAAACGTCTACACGCTCCTAAGTATATGACACAATAACAACAACAACTAAAATAAGGTATATTTCAATAATTAAGTGAAACAATGAAAAGTAAAACGACGCAGAAGTCAACAACAAATGACGACACGAAAAAGGCGAAAAAATAAAATGTATGTATAGTGCCTATCGTTTAATGTGTTATATAATAAATATCACAAAAATATTCTTACCTATAAACTGATTACTTCCTAAATAATTTGGTCCTAAATAGGCACTGCCTAAGCATGGTGTGCTTCTTTGGCTGTGACTTGTGGAAATATCCGCCGATGAGTGCGTAAAGTTAGGGTTGTCGTAGGCTTCATCGTTTCTATTTGGAAATTGTTGTGGATTATAACTGAAATAAAAAACACATTTCTTTATTTGAGTATAATTATTAAACTGCTTATGTTTTCCTTGTCATTTTCCTTGGGCATGTTTTCCTTGAAGAACCTGTCTTAGCAGATGAAGATAATAGATCAAGTACTGCACCTTCACTGTCCTTCTGTGAACCGAATGTTCGAAAGACTTTGGAAGAAGTTATTGATTAAGTATGTGGGATTGATGACGACGACAAAGGTTATCTGGAATATCGAGGTAATGAGGAGGCGTTTGATTATAGTGACGCGGACCCAGATTATATACAAGATAGTGATACTGACTCCGATAATGACATCCCAAAGAAAAAGCTGCAAAAAGATACAACAGCACTTATTGCACATGAGTCAGGAAGAGAAATCTTAAAAAAAAACCTGGACGAAAATCGCTAAAAAATGAAACTAGGCTAATTCGTGAGGAACGAAAGCAGAACAGAAACCTTGGGTTATCGTACACCATGAAAAGTGCGAAGGTTAGTTAAGCTTAAAATGCAAAGACAGGATAACTGAAGAAAAACGACAGGAAATTTTCAAAGAATATTGGTCTTTAGCAAACTTTAATAAACGCGTGTCTTTTATAGCTAGGCTTATAACAACAGACGGAAAGAAAACCACAAAACGTAAATTAGAAAACAAAAAACATAAAAATAGGCTTCTGTCACACAAATATTTTTTACCACTAAATGGTCAACTAGTTAACGCTTGTCAAAGTTGTTTCCTAAATACTTTTAACGAAACAAAATGGTTTCTAACCGATGTGACAAAAAACAAGATTTCTTCAGCTTCTGCAATGCCACATGATGATTTGCGAGGTCTTGCCTCACCATCTAACAAAACTCCTGAACAAGATATTCAATTAGTAAGAGTTCACATTGGATCAATCCCAACTTATGAGAGTCACTATTGTCGTCGTGACTCATCAAAGATATATCTTCCTCATTACTATACCTTAACAAGAATGTATGAAGAATACAAAAAATATCTACCTCACGAGAAAACCCTAGTATCGAAATTCAAATATCAAGAAGTATTCCATTCCATGGAAATAAAAATCAAACAGCCTAAAAATGATACCTGCGCTACATGCGATAAATATCATATGCTCCTGAGAACAACTAAAGATGCACAAAAAATGCAAGAAATTTAAAATCTTCTTGATAATCACCAACAAGAAGAATCAAACGCTTATGAGGCTAAGGGTATAGATAAAAATACTGCGTTAGAAAATGAATCAAAAATCATTTATACGTTTGATTTGCAACAGTGTCTCCCCACACCTGATCTTCAGACTTCAATAGCATTGTATAAAAGGCAGTTGTGGACCTTTAATTTAACATTACATAGCTTTAATGATAATCAAGCAATGTGTCTTATGTGGCATGAGGGCGTAGCTTTACGGGGTGCAGATTGGGTCATGCTTATACAAGCAGATTTCACATATTTCACTTGAAATAAAAGAGATCACCTTATATTCTGATACGTGTGCAGGACAAAACAAGAACTCTTTTCTACCTGCAATGTTCATGATGGTTTTAAAAGAGAATCCCAATCTATCATACATTAACCATAAATTCCTTGTTCCTGGTCACACCCACATGGAGTGTGATTCAGCTCACGCAATTATAGAGAAAAAAAGAAAAGATATCCATGTTCGATAGAACACCCAAGAGACTGGATGAATTTGGTAAGATTATGTGGAAATAAGCGAACTTTTTTAGTTACTGAAATGTGCAGATCGGATTTTCTTGAGTTTTCCTCTTTGTATAAGAATGTCCTTTAAAAAAGAAAAATTAACAACTTAGGAGAAAAAGTCATGTGAAAACAAATTAAATGGTTGAGATTTTCACAGAATCCTGGTGTCCTTAAATACAAAAGTAGCTTAAATGTAGACGAACCATTTAAAAGCGTATGTTTTTTAAGAAAACTAAAAACATAAAAATTCCTCTGTCATATAAAGGTCCCAATCCAATAAACATCGATAAAAAAAAAGAACTTGATAAAGCTATTGCCTTATATTTCAGAAACATTTCATGATTTTTATAGAAATTTAACTACGAAGGAGGATATACCAAATACGTTACCCGAGGATGAAAATAGTAGTGACGAGGAGAGTGTACACACAGAAATTGAAATTTTTAAAAATTAAATTTTTTATTACAACTTTAACGTTGTATTTGACTATAAATGTACCCCCTTAACTAAACATAAAACTTTTCAGTTTCACATTTTTTTATTTATAATTAATAATTAGATTTGTTACTATATCTTCCGGAAACGCTTTTGTTCTTTAATAAATAATTGTGAAAAGTGATATAAGTCATATTTTTTTTAATTGTACAATTAGGTCCCTTTTACTAGTAGATCTATTTTAATCCAACAAATTCAAAGCCATTTCCAAAAATTGTTTAACGAAAATATCTTATTTGTATCCGTAACAACAATATTAAATCTGAAAAAACTATAATTGCGTTTTTCTCGAAACTTATACCACTTTTCTCTAACACCCGCCATTTATTGGTATTTGATATTTATTAAATTTAATGAATACAATTACAGTGCTCTTTACATTCTTAAATAAACCAATGAACTATGGATAAACAAAATTTGTATTTATACTGGAAAAGGTTTACATAATTACTAATACTGGGCAGCTCTGAAGATCAGCTACATAATGCTTCGGATTAAAACTGCACGTAGAAATGCCAAAATCCATCGTCAACGACCAGAAAAAACCTGGGTCCGAAGATAACACAATTCACACTTAGAAAGTATACCCCGTCAAATACATGCAAAAATTTATATTCACGGACATGCATTACTGCGTTACTGCAAAAAATAAACAGGAATCAGACCAGTATCCTAACAGAAAAACAGTTTCATGGACAAAATATCTAGGAAGACGGAGGAAGATCTAATTAATCAATTGGTATTTGAAGACACTTTTCATTTTCATCTGTTTTTCCTAGTAGTCGTCTCGTTGTAGATGCGTCAGTTATTCTGTAACTATAAACTTTAGTACTGCTTCTATTTTTTCGTCCATTATTATAGTAAAGAGAAGTGGGCTTAACGAGTCATCCTGTCTGACTCCGCTTTGTACTGGTATACACTGTGTTACTTTTTCATTTATCTTTGCCTGTATTCAATTATGGAAGTAGATGCTTTCGACGGTTTGTATAACATTGATTGGTATGTTTCTTTTACATATTAGGTGTAAGATGTCTCGGATGCGATAGGAAGCCTTTGTCAGGTCTATATGACATAGATATGCCGATTTATTAAGTGCGGTGTTCAGTACTCCGTGCGGTAACTCCGCCGTTGCCTGGTCCCAAGTCCAGGATGAGAAAGGAGGAGGGTTAAGCAAGGGACTAACTATTCCTTCTTGTAAAAAAACACAGTTATGAAAACGAAGCACATGCCTCGGATAAGGACGGATCTTTTAAGACAACAAAAGCGACGACAAAGGACAATGAATATAGGAACCTGGAACGTACTAAGCCTATATCGGCCTGGAGCCCTAACTCAGGTGGTCAAAGAACTTGAATCCAGAAACATGGACATAACTGCTTTACAAGAGATTAGATGGACTGGAGAAGGTACACTAAAAACTAATAAATCAGTAGTATTTTTCAGCGGAAGCGAACGAGAACATCAATTCGGAACTGGTTTTATAGTTAGGGAAAGTCTTGTGGGGTCAGTTTTAACTTTCAAACCCGTTAATGAAAGACTTTGTTATATCAGAATCAAAGGACCACTACATAACTATTCCCTAGTTGCTGCCCATTCACCGACAGAGGAAAAAGAAGAGCATGTAAAAGATAACTTCTACGAGAAACTAGAGGAACTGATAAATAATTTACCTAAACAGGACATGCATATTATCTTAGGAGATTTCAATGCAAAGATTGGGAAGGAAGCAGCGTACAAACCAACAATAGGTAACCATAGTCTTCACGATGTCAGCAACGATAATGGAACAAGGCTAATAGACTTTGCAGCATCCCACAATCTACTAATAAAATCGACAATGTTTGAACACAAGAATATACACAAACAAACATGGGTCTCCAACGACGGCGTCACAAGAAATCAGATTGATCATATTCTAGTAGATGCCAGGAGGGGTAGTAACTGTCTAGACGTAAGAAGCCTAAGAGGGGCTGATGGAGACACGGATCATTTTCTTGTTAAAGCGAAGATAAGGACAAGAATAGCGTCCAAAAAAACACACAAGAATACACCAACACAATTATGGAATACCGAAGTTTTACGTAATAAGGAGACAGAACAGAAATTTCAAAAGGCTATAAAAATCGCTCTAGCACAGACAGAAGACTATAACAACAGACTCAGCTTGGAAAAATATCAAAGTAGCTCTGACAAGCGTATCAGATAAAATACTAGGACACAAAAAAAAACAACAAAAAAATGGTTCGATGATGATTGCCTGAACTCCATATTAGCAAGAAATATGGCTAGAAGGAACATACTACAAAACCCCTGGCACAACAACAATGAAATGTATAGACAAAGAAGAACAGAGACAAGAAAACTAATGAAAAGGAAGAAGAGAGAGTATCAGGAACAAATAATCAGAGATATAGAAGAAAAAAGAAAGAACAAACAAGCGAGGCAGTTCTTTAAAGGAGTTTCAGATATCAAGACCGGGTACCAAGCAAGAACAGGAAACTTTCTTCAAAACGACAGTGGACAGCTTATCACTGATGACAAGGAAATCTTAAAAACCTGGAAGGAATACTTCTATCAACTATTGAATGACCAATCTAGTAGAAGTACATCAAACATAGAGGTACATACAGCTGAAATAGAAGACCAATACCCGACATACGAAGAAGTAATACAGGCAATTAAAAAACTCAAAAATAATAAGACACCAGGTAGCGATGGTATATCCGCAGAGTGCTCAAAACATGGAGGAGAAGCGTTGTACAGTTCGATATACAAGCTAATTCAAGACATTTGGCAAGA